ACCACCAATTAACACCCACTATACTTAGCATGTTTGTTTTTTCTGAAGGATGAAGCAACAACAACAAAAAAAAAAAGCTTTCATAAAACAATAAGAAGATTCAAAAATCAAACCCTGAAATGCTAGGAAACATAAGATTAAATTATCCACCCTCTCTCCATCTCCATTTTTGTTTTTGCTTATGGCACTGATACCCAAGACATTTTCCTTGACATGATTCAGATCACAGGAAAGGAAAACACACAAGCTGGTGGGTTTTTCATGTTGTTCACCAACCTGCATCTAAACAATTCACAAGTGATGGATTTATCTTCACAACACATCTTTGAGGAGAGAATGAGTCTTATCTGTTCTCCTGATTTGGGGCTGGAAGAACTGAAAGCCTGGATTTGCATTTCAGGCTGAGAAAAGTACTCCATTTTTAAAGAATTTGGAAGTATGCAACATTAATCCAGGCACAAGATCCCTCAGCTCCAGGAACCACTGAAAGCACTGAACATTTCTGCAGAGCAGACCTCAAGGTGTGAAACTGGGCACCCCTCAAAGGGAGGATCACCACACTGTTGGTGGTCGTTCCCATGTGGGGAACTGAATTCAGTTTCCCAGGGCCACTGAGGACCTCTATAAAAGAAAAAAAAAGGAAAAAGTACAGTCTTTTCAGGCATAATTTACAGCTCTTTTCCATGGAAAAGTCTTCAGATTTCTCATCTGAAACAACTGTCAGATGCTGCAAAAAAAGACAGTTTTCCCTTGGTCCCTTCACTTCCCACCCGAATTCACTTCCAAACTACAACCAGTCACAAGTGAATCAGAGGATCAGAGGTCTCAGTGACCAAAAAGGAGTGTGCAAACATCCAGTTTAGGGCAATGTGTGCAGTGAAATAGGAATTAACTGGGGAGTGGAAACAATCCATGCTAAGGAACAAAACCTGTGATTTTTAGAGGTGGCTTCATGCTAGCCTGGTCCTGTGGCCTCTGCTCCCATTAGCACATTAGGAAGGGATCATCTGAAAAAAAAAACTATGGAGTGGGATCAGAATACAGGCTCACTGCCTTAAATTGGGACTACTATGAAATAAAGGCACCCACCTGATCTGAATGTCGACGCTGGTGTAGATGCATCCTTAAACAATTCATATTTCAAAAGCATAGGAGAAAAATAAAGGTTTTACAGATGGTATTAACAGCATTTTTTGTTTCTTCAACATTGAGACATCCTTTGTAACCTTAAAAATATTCCCTAAGTGTGTTGTGAGTGTTTGTCCGTGCACATGTGATGCCTCAGACAAGTCAAGGTAATAAAACTGGAATTAATATTTAGGCAGCCTTTTTGAACTCATTAGGGATCTTGAGTGAAATGTGGTTGCCACAGTCATGTCAGAGCAGCAACCATTACACATGCATCCCAAAAGGTATTTTGCCTGTATAAAGACCACAGGATTTGAACCCCCCTAAGGACTTCCATGGTGTTTTCTACACAGTATAGATTATCAAAGAACTGCTGTGGCTCAGAGGGCTTTCCTGCTCCAAATTGTCCATCATCAGCTCTTCCCTGCAATTTCAGAAATGAAGAAAGACAGTTTCACAAGATATTTGTCCAGGAAAAATACCTCTTGGCTTTTCCATAAACTATTTTTTTCCCCATGTGAGGAAAGAAAGAAAGAGAAGGGAAGGGAAGGGAAGGGAAGGGAAGGGAAGGGAAGGGAAGGGA